CCTTGCTGTAAGAAAGAGCACATAGCTAATAAAGGCTTTGAATCCCTCTTGACCCCTGAGAGGGAGAATAGATAAATAGAATAGTGGGAAAACAAATGCAGTTATTATCCTGCACTCTGGTTCCTCTGTGCTGATACAGCAGAGTACAGCAGATCCTAATTGTGCATCCTCTAACATCCAGAAATCTCATTAGAAAGGAATTAAAGGATACTGGACCTATGTCTGGGATTTCTGGAAATGCAGCAGCTCTGTTCAGGTGGCTGGGTGTCCAAGAATGCCAAGCACACCCTCTGTGCACACACTGGCCTTGCAGCACGCACATGGGCTGTCCACGTCAGCTGGAAAATGTGAGCATAGAGCTGGTGAAGGGTCTGGAGCACAAGTCTGATAAGGAGTGGCTGAGAGAGCTGGGGATGTTGAGCCTCAAGAAAAAGGAGGCTCGGGGGAACCTCACTGGTCTCTACATCCACCTGGAAGATTATAGCCAGGTGGAGGTTGGTCTCTTCCTCCAAGCAACAAGTGACATGGCAAATTTAAAACAGCCTCAGGTTAGGCCAGGAGAGGTTTAGATTGAATATTAGGAAACATTTCTTCATGCACAGTGTTGCTACATGTTGGAACAAGCTACCCAGGGAAGTGGCTGAGTCACCACCCCTGGAGGTAGTTAATACATGTGTAGATGTGGCAGCTAAGGACACAGTTTGGTGGTGGACTTGGCAGTGCTACATTAATGGCTGAAATAGATCTTAAAAGTGTTTTCCAATCTTCAAGAGACAGAATGACAATGATGTTATAATTCCACAAGTCAAAATGAAAGGATATTTAAAATCAAAGTTTGCAGAATCTGCTATTATAGCATTTTCTCATAAATAACTTGCATGACATTATTGACCCTAAATGAACTCAGTTCATCCAGTGTATTTCAGGGCTTTCCAGAAGTTATATAGCTCTTAGTAATGTATGTTTCATGTGGAAACAGGGATTGTTATTCTGACATGGTAATAGGGAACTATAAAGTTTCTTCAAGATGCAAGAATGACCACCTCCCTGTTGTGGGGAAGGTGACCTGGATTACTGCCAATGCAATGAAAGGCTTCAAGTCACTTGAATGATCACTGACCAGACCTGAAATCCTAGAAGAGTAATAAAGAACAAAAGGCAATGAAATAATCTTTATTTTACAATGGTTTTGCTTTCTGTATCAAACTTGCTCATTTGTTTCTCTAGCTCCTGAAGCATGTCACTTTTCATGTTTAAAACAAACCCCTATTACTCCAATTGAAATTAATAATTTTAAAAATACAACTTTTCATTATTAAACTATACACAAAGAATTCAACTTCTTGTACTTCAAATCCCCAGAATCTGTTTACAAAGAGGTTTTGAACATGGAGAATCATCAACTATATATGACTTATTAAAAAAAAATCCACAGAAACAGCCATACTCCCAAGGCTCTTGCTACCTTTTCCCTGTTCTAAACGTAAAAGAACAAAAGACCATTTATCTGACAATTAAATTTTTATTTTTACTGTAGGGAGACATACCCAACCATAAAAACACTGCAAATTAAGGAAATCCAGTCTTCATTTTCAATATGAAATAGAAAATACAGGAAACACTTCAAGAAAATTAAATTGCAAACATAAATCTTGAAAACCGTATCAGTAACATTATGATGACTGCAGATGCTGCCCAGCTCATATCAATTTGGATCCTACTGAAGACCATGACATCATTTTTTATTTCTCTGTCTTCCCATTTTTTTCCCACTAAAAGCTTCTGGGTTTTTTTCAGGTTGAAGACATTTCAACCCTGCTCCCATTAACATTTTTTCCTCAGCTGGCTGTTAAATCAGTATTAATTTTAGTCTGTCAGAAGCAGGGAGGGGGGCAACTCACCCCTGGGCATCTGGCAGCAACCCCCTAACCCCTGACAAAAGCAGGGAGTGCTCTTAGCCTGCAGCACTGTGCACCTCCCCAAATCAGGCTTTTATGCTGCAAGCAAAAGTCTCTACCTATGAGAAGTGGCTATTTCTGAGGTTACCTAGACTACAAGAGCACTCTCAAATCACTGAACAACATACAGAAATGAGGCTGTCATACAGCTTAGCAGTGGCTGAACATCTTTGCCACAGCATCTTGAGATGTACAGCATTACTTTAACTAAAACAGGGATCTAAAATGGAAACCTAGTGACTAGCTGCTAATATGAGTCCTGCTCATTAGCACAAGGGACCTTAAACGAAAGCCAATTAAAGCACCAGCAGAACAGACACCCAAGCCTGCTCAATCAACTACTGATTGGAGATGAACACACTGATGCAAAAGGGCTCATTTTAACAACATTTAATAGTCACAGTCAAAAGCTGTTCTTTGTGGCCCAGCTAATAAACACAAGACAGCTGAGGGGTTCAGGTGCTTGCTCAAGCTGCACTTAGGAGGAGGCCAGATTTTAACTGTTCATAACACACTGTAGAATCACTGAGGCTGCAAGTGGTGACCAAACTTACACTCTGCTTCTGTGTTTACATCAGAGGGGCTCTAACATACAGGTCATGTGTGCCGTCTCACAAGACATCTAGCAAAGCCAACTTGGGTCCACAATGAGCAGTGCAAAGGTGTGAAGACACACAAAAGCAACTTATAGGAACATAAATAGTCTTCAGTATCCTGTAAAAATAAACTAACTTGAGAGGTAACCATTGCTTGTATGCCTTTAAGCATCTCAGTTTAGGTATTACCTACTTTTCTACAAAATATTAATGTGTCGGGTATTCATCAGGTAAAATGTAATACCTGCTGCAGGTGGATGATCATGAGAGTGATAGCAGAGTATCTTTAAAAATTATTATCAGCAGGAAGCACATGCCAATATTTCTCTTGTGTTCTCACTCATTTGTTTCTGAAGATATCTCAATGGACCACACCACGAGAGATGCAAAAGAAATTATTCAAACAAAAAAAGACAAAAAGATATAGCAGTGAAAAAGAAAGTTGAAGAAAAGCAATACCTAAATTAAAGGAGTCACTATGGTGGCAGGAATGGAAAGGGCTGACAGTTCAGAAAGGTACAAGAGGCCTGTGATAAGGAGTAAAAGAGGTTAGTGCAGCCTCTGCTGTACACAGGGACCTAAGAACTGGATTCACTTCCTTCAGTAGAAAAAGAGCCCAGGAAATCCTCTCCTACAGCTCATCAAAGGTTAATTACACAAATACCCCCTGGAGGAATTCCCCATATGCCCTGTGCTGTGCAGACCCAGTGAGCCCTGTGGCCCCACTGGGAGAGATCTGACAGCCCTGACTGCTTCCCACCATCCTCACCACCCAAAGGGCTTTGTGGCATACAGCTCCAAGGTATTCCAGCCTTTCTTCCTGAGGTGTACTGCCTTGCCTTCACCTCCCACTGAAACAAAAATTATCAATTGACACTTCTTGTGACAAAGGAAAACAACAAATTAACCCCAAAGGATCAGGGAGAAAAGCACTTTTCACTATTTGCATTAATAACCTTAGTAAGTGTAAGACACATTTGCACTGGGAACTGTTGAAAGAAGCAAAGCAACAGTGCTTTGTGACTCTTTGAAGACACAGAATTGGCGTAGAAGTTACGTAGAATATGGGACAACAAGAATAAGGGAGAGTACAAAAAGAGAATGGGCAGCACTAGTCCCAGCTTTGGCACACTCCACTCCACGGGTAAAACCTGCTGCTGTGCTGCACCTCTGCTTCTGTGCTGTGGGGGCTCAGTGCTTAGGGAACAAAAGATGGACACAGGGAGCTCACTGATTGTGTTGAGAAGGACCATAGGAAAATGATCTGACACCTGCAAAATTTCTTTTGAATACTCCAGTTACCAGGAAGATCTCATATCAATAGAAATTATGCTTTCCTCCCCACTGTGGTTTTCCTTTAAAAATTCTTAGAAATACATCCAAAGGGAAGAGATGCTTGGACAGCCAACTGCTACCTTCAGAAAGGCAGAGCCTGACACCCCCTCAGAAGTGGACTTTAGGAAGTCAACAAGACAAAACAGCCACTGCATTAATGAAACAGAAAAACATCTCAGGGATCAGATTTGGCTTCCAACAAACACCTCCAGCTGAAGTCAGCACTCAGGCAGCAACAGTACAGAAAGGCTTTCCTGGCCCCTACTCCACCTCTGAATGGTGGGTGATGTTTCTGGGCAAAATCACAAACTTGGATCCAAATTATTCTTGAAAAAGTCCAATTACGCTTAGATACCCACATGAATAGAAGAATATATCCTGGAAAAGGTAATGGATGGTGAGTGTGGCTTTTTCTCAAGCACAGCACTTTCTGTCTGTTAAAAATCCAATTCACCTGGATTCACCATGATGATGTTTGGCTTTGGGTGGCTTGTAGTCAGTACATACTTCTCAGTATATTAAGCATGAGTACATTGAACACCAACACCCACAATCATGCCTCGAGCTGGAATCAGAACTAAGCTGCAATTTAAAACATTTGTTCATGCGAACAGAGGAGTATTTCTATACATGCCAAGCTGGATTCTGTATGTGTAGAAAACAACTTTAAAACCCCCCAAATCACAGCTGCACATACAATCACAGTACGGAATGGGGAAAAAGAACCGAAAATTCACATCTCCGATTTCCATGTACAGCCGGTCTCGGAGGATGGGGAGATGATTCCCCGCCTGGCCCAGCCCGAGGCCGCTGGCAGCGCCCCGGCGGCAGAGGGGAGCGGCAGCGCCGCGCTGGGCCCGCTCCGGGCGCTAACAGGTGCTGCGCCCCGAGCTGCGCCGCCAACTTCTCCTTAGCAGCGCCAAGCCGCCTCATTTTTTCCCTTTTTATCCTCCTCCTCGCCCCTTCCCCAAGGTGCGGGACCGCTCAGGTTTACACCCGCGCCGACGCAACTTTGGAGTAGAGGACCGGAGCGGAAAGCAGAGAAGGGGATGCGCGCCCCGCCGGCCCCGCCCGGGCTCCCGTCCCGTCCCGTCCCACCGTCGCGCACCACCTGCGCGGCCATGAAGGAGAGGTCCATGGTGCTGCCGCTGGAGCTGCTGGCGGAGCTGGCGGAGGTGCTGAGGCTGCCGCTGCCGCTGCTGCTGCTGCCGGGGGCGGGCGGGGCGCGGGGGCGCGGCGCGGGCACCGCCTCCCCCAGCAGCGGCGGGCGCGGCCGCGGCAGGGAGGCCGGGACGGCTCCGCTCCGCCCTCCCGGGCACCTGTGGGGCGGCCCCGCCCCGGCACCGCTGCCCCTCACGGCGCCGCTCCCCCTGCAGCGGGCACGGCGGCCTGGGACTGCCGCGGGGTGCCAGGCCGGGCCGGCAGGAACCCCTCAGCCCTCGGGGCTGTTTGCCTACGCGGAACGGCTCCGCGGCCCCGAGCCGGGGTGCGCGGGCACGGCCGGGGCGCCGCGGCGGCGGAACGGCGGAGCCCTCGGGCTGGGTCCCGCCGGTCGGAGCCGGTGACGGGCGAGTGCTGCGGAGAGAAGCGATGGGTGGTTAAAGCAGCGTCTTGAGCCAGATGCGGCTCGGCTCGGCTCGGCTCTCGCGGCGTGTGCGGATCCTCTGCATCACACGCCGCGCCTCTGGAGATGCACACCTGGCGGCCACACTGCTAATCCATCCAGCTAATCCTGCCCAGTGTGCCGAGCCATCGGCCTGGCTTTAAAATACTCGGTTCCTTCTCTCACCACGGCTGAAAAGTGATCCCGACGGCTGAATGTTACATCTTTTCATGGCTGAGCTGTTGGAACTTTATTTTCAGCTTCCCTCCTCCTCCTTGTTCCCAGAATTTACTGTTCAACAATACACAATACATTTTGTCCCTTTTCTTATGCTCTTCCCTGTTCCTCACAGATACTGTTATCATTTTTAGCATGAAAAATTTAGTATATTCCTTCACAGGTTGGTTCTGAAAAACCTTTGACACCAATACAAAAAGCAGGATAATTAAAATGTGCATCCTAATGCATTAAAAGCTTTTTTGGTGTGTGTGGGTTTGGTGGTTTTTTTGTTTTTGTTTTGTTTTTTTTGTTTTGTTTGTTTGTTTGTTTTTTAACTCTACATGTTAGTTTCATCTCCTAGGCTCAAGTCTTTGACCATGTTTTTACTACTTCAGCCTGTTGCTAGGGTCTGAACCAGGGCCGATGAGAATACGAGAGTATGCCACCATCAAAAGTACATGGAAAATCAGCTTTGCACTGGGATTTTAAAGTCTGGAGGAAAAAACAGACTGTGCTTCACCATGTGTGTGCTGTGAGCTCTGTGCTGTGTTGCCTACTGTTGCACTGCTGCAGCAGGAGGTGATGGAAAGAAAATCAGCTGTTTTAAATCAGTCCTTTACTTCAGTGACTATTAATGTGTCTGCCAAAAATGCTTTTATGTCAAGAGGCCCATTAAGTAAACAAGTAAAATCTCAAAGAGGCAATGTAATTTTAAGATTTTTTAATTCAGTTGTGTAAATAATGGAATTGTCTCTTTGTAGAGTCTCTCCAAAGTTTTGAAAGGATATTGATGTGTGTGTCAGAAGCCATAAATTAACTTCAAAACAGTGTTAATTTTTCATCATCCAGATAAATTTTAAATGTGCTGGGTAAACATTTCCTCATAGCAAACGTGGCCTGGTCAGTCACAGCATCTGCAGCAACAGAGAATAATAAAATAGTTCATGAGAATAAAATCATAGTTAAAGTTTCAAAATCACAGTGACTTCTGCACTCATTTAATTCTATGGAGGATGAGAACTGTAGAGCAACAGAGCTGGAAAGAACCTCAGGAAATAACCTAGTCCATGCATCTGCATAAAATGCAACCAGTGACCCTCCAAACAGGGTGTTTGTCTTTACCCAATCTCTTCTTTAAAGTGTCTAATGAGGAATGCTCTATTCCCTACCAAGCAGTGCACAGATTTATTCCACTGACCATTCTCTAAGGTTGTGTCAAACAGGGACATGAATAAATTATTTTCCTTGGAAAAACAACTTGCCTTCTGAGAACTGCTCTTTGTCTTTTTCTTTTACCCACCTTATGGTATTTTGACCTTTCCCTCAAAGTCCTCAAGGAGGATTTCTAATGGTACCAAGATTTGCCAGTCAGGTTTCCAAATATTTTATTGTGATGTTCAGCAAGTTTAAGAAATTAACACTAATTCATTATTCTGAAGCCTGACAAAGGAAAAAAAAAATCACTGTTCAGTTTTCACTTTTGATTTTCCTCTGGTTTACTGCCGTGTTTGTGAAATAGCATGGTTTGTACTGTTTAAGATGCAAATAATTTCTGAGGAACACCAAATTATTTGTGTTTCTAGAATCATAAACCATTAAGGTTCAAAAGACTTCTAAGAACATCAGCTCCAGTTGTTAACCTGACATTGCCCTGTTCACCACTAAATCATGTCTCCTTGTGCCACATCCAGATGCCTTTTGATTCCAGGGATGGTGATTTCACCAATTCCCTGGGCAGACTGTTCCACTGCCTGACCACCCTTTCAGTGAAAAAAATTTTCCTAATATGCAATCAAAACCTCTGTATTGCAGCATGAGGCCATTTCCTCTTGTCTTGTTACTTGGGAGAAGAGACTGACCCTCAGCCCATTAAAACCTCCTTTCAGGCAGTTGTAGCGTACAATGAGGTCCTCCCTGAGCCTCCTTTTCTCCAGGAAAACAAGCCCAGCTCCCTCAGCTGCTCCTCATTAGGAGCTCCAGACCCTTTTCCAGCTCTGTGGCCCTTCTCCAGACTCACTCCACTGAATTTGAAGGGTGGCCTCACCAGTGCTGGGTACAGGGGGACAATCACTGTCCTGGTCCTGCTGGCCACACTATTGCTGACACAGGCCAGGATGCCATTGGCCTTCTTGGCCACCTGGGCACAGCTGGCTCATGTTCAGCAGCTGTTGACCAGCACCCCCAGGTCCTTTTCCACGGTGCAGTTTTGCAGACACTCTGTCCCCAGCCTAGCAGGAGGTTGTTTGTGGCCCAAGGGCAGGACCCAGCACTTGGTCGTACTGAACCTCATACAATTGGCCTCAGCCCATCAATCCAGCCTGCCCAGACCCATCTGAAGAATTTAACCACTCGCCAGTAGATCCCACCTGGCTTGGTGTCATCTGCAAACTGACTGAGGGTGCCATCAACCCCCTCATCAGATCATCAATAAAGATTGTTAACAGGACTGGCCCCAACACTGAGCCCTGGGGAACATCACTGGTGACCAGCCACCAGCTGGATGTAACTCCATTTGCCACCACTTTTCAAGCCTTTAACTATGATAGTACAAAATACAAAGGTTTGTTTCTTCATCTTCCCCCAAAATACATTTTTGTGGGATATAAATGTGTGTGGATATAAATTTTGGATATAAATTGCTTTATCATAGCTCTGTAAGTTCTTCTGTAAAACAAATGTTTGGAATGTGCTTCTGTCTTTCAGTAGTGATAATGCAGAGCTTGAATGAGATCTGCCAGCTGTCCTGCCCACCTTGTGTCCAGTTTTATCATCAAAATATCTAGACCACTTAAAAAGATTATGTCACAATTTGCTATTTCTGTGGACAGACATTGTAGCACCCAGCTAAAAATGAAGACATGATTGTATAACATTATTCTTAAAAACAAGCAAAGATGCTCTTTAATTAGATTTAAAGCTGTTTGCTAAAAAGGCCACATTTTTCAGTACAGTGGAACACAACTCAATTAGAGAATAGTTTGGTTTGTCATTTTTCCTGGGGCATAGTAGGAAATCCTTTCTTGCACTGCATGTGCACAGAAGCTCTGCCTTTGCTTCACAAAACAGACCTAACAAAATATGACAATTGAGTCTTGCTGCCAAAAAGGATTTTAAATGAGTTTGTATCTCTACAGCCCCACTTACCATATGTTGTATTTAGATACCCTAGGCAATGCAGTACCAATTTTTAGCTTTGCATCCTGATATCACATTTAAATCTTTCATCTATGCAAAGGGAGACTAAGTTCCCATTTTAAGGAGAGAAGATAATATTGGCTTCTTGCTGCATTTTAGTATACTTTTAAGCTATTTCCTCTGAGTCCCATTTTAAACCTACTGTTGCCTCATTGCAGCAGGTTGCAATTACACAAGGTAATTAATTCCCTTAATGAAGAATCAGCCACAGTGACATGTGGTATCCATTCTTAAGACAGGTTCATTCTCTCTGGTGGACTCTTGCTGCTCAGTGTATCACAAAGGAGACAAAGGATGCTGAATTTTGCACATGAAGTCTGGCTGGACTGAATCACGAAAAGGGAATTCACTCAGAGCCAGCCTTCCTTCCTTCCTTCCTTCCTTCCTTCCTTCCTTCCTTCCTTCCTTCCTTCCTTCCTTCCCTCCCTCCCTCCCTCCCTCCATTTTTGTTTGTATTTGGTCTTTCAACAGAAAACATTGACACCAGCAAATTAACACAGTACAGCCCTTAAATTTCAAGCAGCCAATTTCACTTAATGGAATGCAAATGCCCCATCTTGCTTCCCCTGGGCAGTACTGGGACAGTTACTCAGGGACTCACCGTCAAACTGGGAATGGAGGTGGTTTGAACTGCTCATTAATAACAAGTAAAATCAGATGTGTGCTTACATACTCCTTTACAAAGCACAAGTGCTTGAGTCCATATTGCAAACTGATGCCTGCTCCAGGTCCAGCATCCCCTCCTGCATGAACATAGCCACATCTTTTCTTCCACAAAGGTGGGCAAGTATGATTCCTCTTTAGAATATATTGGAAGGGGCTCACTGTTTAAGGGGATAAACCCAGAAGAGGGAAACTTTAGTTGTATGACTTAGATGCCAACCAACCCCAAGATGAACCAAGCAGGTCCTGATTCCCTGGGTGCATATCCTCTACAAAAGTCTGGCATTGGGAAGCAGATCTGCTCCTCAAACCACTTTGGATGTCTCTGTAGGAGGACATGTAAGTCACTGCAGAAGAGAGAAAGAACTTGGAGGACTCTGCCTGTACCTGTTGAGGACTCCCCATCTCTGGAGACATGAGGTTTGACTCCCTTTTTCTCAGAAGGCTGGTTTATTATCTTATGATATATATTATACTAAAATACTACATAAAAACTATACTAAAAGAACAGAGAGAAAAGATCATCAGAAG